CAAAACAAACAAACAAAAAATTATGTGAAAATATTTTAAAATCTGAGTTCTGCTTAATTACTTTGGATGAATCTGATTAATTTTTATAAGGTTAACAGTAGTAAAAGTTTTTCAAAAATAACATCTTGGAGGAATAAAAATATAGGAGTAATTTCAAAAATAAAAACAACTACAAACTGGAATAGAACAGTGTTTAAGTATTCTAAGCTCCATTATTGTCTTTGGCAATGGGAATAGGCATTAACTTTGGACTTTGACAATATGCCTGGTTTAATCAGTGCTAATCATTAATAAAACAAAGTGTGCTTAATTCTTACTGTGGTATAGGGTAAAAAAAAACAGATTAATAAAAATAAAAGAAGGCAAGAATACAAAAATATGAGTGAAGAAATAAGGTGAATATATCAAATATGACAATAATTATATTCAGTGTAAATTGACTGTTTTAGTTAAATGCATTTTCAGACATAATATTTAAAAACAGAGAAAAAAGGTAAAGGTAAAACTAGAACCAAATAAATGATGCAAATTCTAACCAAAGGAAAGACATTGTAGCTTTATTAGTATTGGATAAAGATCTAATGCAAAATTAATGCCAAAAATAAAATGGTTGTATATTTATAGTTAAAAATGTTTTTTCTAACTAGAAATTTAACAAATATATGTGTTAACTCGCCTTATGTTTAAAATTGCTAAAGCAAAAAATTGACAGAATAGTAAGAATAGGGAAATCCATAATTATGAGAGTTTTAATATAACAACCTTAATAAGAACAAGCAGATTTAAACAAATTTTTATTAATCTGACCAAATGCACATTCTTTTGTTAATTGTCTACATACAGTCAGAAGTTGAGCCTTTTAAAGAACTGAAACAGAATATGCTAATTGGACTAAGATCATATAGTATGCTCTTGTTGACATGAACATTTATTTCCATAGTCTTTGTTGTTATATGAAGTGTTATCATGAAGATCTGTGTACATGTTTACACATGGGTGAATAACTCTGTAAGCTGGATAAGCATATGTGAAACTGGAAGCACATTTTTATATTTTCATATTATGCAAGTTGCCCTTACAAAGGTATCAATTTTTACTCTCTAGTAGCAATGTATTATAGTACCTTCTGCCACACTCCCACTAAAAATTATCAAAGCTCTAATGTTTTGCCTAATATATTGAAAATGATTTAATTTGCGTTTTTCCAAATTCCTTGCAAAACTGAACATCATTTCACATTTTTTTTTTTTTTTTGGCATTTTGAGTTTCCTATTGAGATTTGCTTCTTCATTTTCCCATCTAGTTTTGCTTTATTTTTTGTTTTCTTCCTTATTGAATGTTTGGAGTTCTTACGTTGTCCCACAGACACATGCCACCACGCCCAGCAATTTTCAGTAGACAGGGTCTTACCATGTTGGCCAGGCTGGTCTCAAACTCCTGACCTCATGTTGATCCACCTGCCTCAGCATCCCAGAGTTCTGGGATTACCGGCCTGAGCCACTGCACCTGCCCCCCCACCCCCGGCTTTTTTTTTTTTTTTTCATTTCTAATTGATACATTTTAAATGGATACAAAGGCCTCTAGTCTTTATATATTAGTCATAGATGTTCTAGTCTTACTCAATTTCTTTGTTTTTTCCTCACTGCTCAGATCTTATGCATGTTGGGTACAGGATATCTCTTTCCTGATGTTTTTTCAATGTTTTGCATGTGTGTGTCTGTGTGTGTGTGTTTTAAGATTTCCTATTAGCTTTTATATGCACACTCTATATACACCATTTGTTTTCAGAAAATATAGGGTGGGATATTTAGCAGCATAAGTAAGAACTATTTTTCTTGAAAACTATTAGTTGTACCTCTTAGGTGTCTGACACGAGGGGTAGCTCATTTATCTACTGAATCATCCTATTGAGGTCATTATTTTTTAGTATGCATTGCTAAAGATAATAAAATCTAAAAAAGTATCTCACAGTTGACACATTAAAGAACTTCCCATTACTCACAAAAGGAAGTGCTGTCTTCTCAAAGAGTAGTAAAGATAACATAATTACTACAAGCACTCAGCACATTTCTTGTTGAGATTTCAAAATTCATTTAGATAATCCTTTCAATCTCCTAGGTTATCAATTTCTTGAATTTATCTCCTTTCATCACCTTGCCTCTACGCTACTCCCATCTTGACATCCAAAAACTTGTAATCTTAGTACTATACTCTAAATTAATTTTCAGTCACCCCACTCTTATTTAAATCTCCAAAATTTCTAGTTCCTACCTCAAGAACTCCAATGCATCTTCAATAACAATGCAATCTACAATTGATCATACCATTTTCCACTAAGCCTTCTTAATTTTCTCACTTCACTCCTTAACCCAAATTACTTTCCATATCCCTCTTTTTATAATCATTCTCTTAAATGTATCAACATCTCATCACTGACCTTTATTCACCTAGCAAAATCTCAACTTTAGTTAAACTGAATTCTGTACTTACTCAGTGATAACACCTATGCTGAACTTAACTGGAGGAAACACAAAACCATGTTGACTAACACTTAAATAAACCAGTCTGCTTAAGAGTATGTTTACTCTTCTACGTTCCTAGGTATCCATTTTACATCTCCTTTTCCTTCCTTAATCCTTCAGGACATCTTCCCTCGTTATGACCTTGCTTCTTATTTCACTGAGAAAATATAACAAATACTTGACATGCTCCTTCTATCTACTGAACTACAAACATACAGAACTCCACATTCTGCCCTTCATCCTACTGTTTCTAATGAGCTGTTTGTGTGCCTATCTTTAAAACTAACCCTTCTATTTGAATATCAGGTTTATGGCTTCAGCAATATCCCTCCTTCCTGCATCATGTTTTTTTTCCTCTCTATTAAATCAGTCCCATTAGCATATAAACCTGCTATATCTTCTATCTTAAAATAAACAACTTTTTGATACTCCATTACCCTCCATTAACAAGCCACTTCTCCCATCCCCTTGAAAGCAAGACTCCTTAAGAGCTGTCTTCAATACTCACTATATTAAATTCCTCTCTAACATTCTCTTGAATACCTCCTCTTACTGCTGATACCCACCCAATGTCTGTCAAAATCAAGGTGACAAACGTTGCTCTGCTTAATCCTAAGAACTCATCTTTCCTAAGTCATCAATAGAGCTAATATATTTGATAACTCCTTCCTCTTTGAGATACTTTCTTCATCTACCTTCGAACTATTCCTCCTTCATCTCCTTTAGTAGTTATTTACCTATTTGATATCTAAATATTGGCATGCTCCAGGGTTCATGTCTCCACACGTCTAATTCCTATCTTTAATGTTCTTATTCTCCCTACTTCATGATGCTGTAAGTAAAAGGTAAGAAGCTATTATTCACAACAGCATTTTTACAGAAGAATGAGCCTTCTTGGGCAGTGCCTCTAAGGTAAAGGTGTAATCACAGATTCAGGAAAATATCTATAAGAATAAATCAAATTTAAAAGATGAGTATATATATATATATATATATATATATATATATATATATACAGCTGAAACAAATTTCATTAAAGAAATAGAATAATTTTACATGGAAAACATTTCATCTTTGAGTGATGTCCTGACAGATGAAAGGTTTAGGGGTACAAAAATGGAAGACAGTATTAGGGTAAGGATACAAATTCTCTATATTGTGATAAATCCCCCACTTCCAAAAAACCAAAATCCCAATAAAACTCAAAGCCAGACAAATATGCAATAACTACAATAAAAAAAAAGTGCATTGGTATCCAGGTAAGAAGTTTTAAAAGGCAGTATCTGTAATCATAAAAAAAAAAAAATTGTATTATCAAATTGCCTTAATAAGAAATTTATGTAATCATCTGGTTATGTTTTCTTCAATGTATTAAACCAGATAAAGAAAAAATACAAACACTATTTTATTGGAAAGAAAATAATTTATTATATTTGATGAAAATCATTAAAATACATGTAATATAGCTCCAACACACTGATTTAAAGGCATACTGATTTAATTTTTAAATACACTTTCAAAGTTGTTACGCACAGTTCCATAGTCCAGGTGGTGAATTTCTTCCTCTCAAAGTTGGAAACGCTTGAAAGACACAGGATTCAACAGAAACCTAAAACATCACAAAAGCCTATTAAAAATAATAACTATAACAGTTCACTAGTTTAAAAATAACTAAAAGCTGAATCATTTGTATTTAGAAAATTAGTGAATCATGTCAGTATAACAAAATTTATCTAAATAGCTTATTAAAAAAACGTGATTTATAACAGTTACAAAATAATTTTAACTCTGCCTATAGAAAAATAATTACAATTTACATATCAGTTTTGTACTTTTAAGGTGATAACAACCAAATTTTGAATTGTTTTCACAGTACTAATAATAGTAGCAGAATTCTCAACAAAGAAACATAAAGGCTCCAACCCTTCATTTTCCTAGTTATTAATATGAGGTTGGATGGCTAGGTTGATACTAGGTACCTAACCATTTTATTCCAAAAAAGCGGTATCCAAACTGGTCAGTCCTTAGAATTACTAAGGAAACCTTTTCAAATCTGATTCTTGTACTCCATTCCCAGAGGTTCAGATATATTAGTTCTAGGATAAAGTATAGGAATCTTTATACATAAAGACTCTTCCTTGGTGGTTCTCAACCGTGGTTGCACATTAAAATCAGTCTGAGAGGTTTATGCCAATATCTGTACTACACTCCCAACACCTTAAATCTAAATTCTGACTGAGGAAAACAGGGACCAATATATTTCTTAAGGATTTTTTTAGGAGAGTTTCACTCTGTTACCCTGGCTAGAATGCAGTGGTGAGATCACAGCTCACTGCAACCTCAACCTCTGGGGCTCAAGTGATCCTTCCGCCTTAGCCTCTATCACCGCTCACTGCAACCTCAAACTCTGGGGCACAACTGATCCTCCCTGCCTTAGCCTACCAAGTAGCTGAGAGCTGAGGTGCACACCACCACACTCCGCTAATTTTTGTATTTTTTGTAGGGACAAGGCCTCCCTACATTGCCCACTGTCTCAAACTCCTGGGCTCAAGTGATTCTCCCATCTCAGACTCCCACAGTGTTGGGATTAAAGGTGTGAGCCACTGAGCCCTTTTTAAATTAGTATTTCTTTCAACTTCCAAATCACTTTAACCTGCAGCCAAGACTGAGAACCACTGTTCTTGGTGATTCTGGTCAACGACCAGTCTGGAAACTCCTATTCCTATATACCTGCCAAGACTGTTTTTCACTTAATGTGCTACCATGAGTCAGCATTATGAGTTTCCCCTCTGTTACGATTTTCTTCTGTTTTAAAAAAGGGGAAAGAAGAAAGATACTTCTATTGCTATCTATGTCAAAAGATATTCGCAAAGACTTCAGATAAGAGGTCTGATACTCTTTGGAATTTATATAGTAATCCAGACATCTTAATTTTCAATATTAAGTACTTTTTAAAAGAAAAATAATTCCTTTGTCCAATTAAATTTCCATAACATATAAATACCTAAACCAGATATATTATAAAACAGAAAGCATATGTTATTGAATTAGGTTTAGAAAATAAATAGAAGAAACAAGACCATATTTTGGTTTAAAGCAAATGAACACATTCTCTAAGTAAGTTGACCTGATTCACTAACTTTCCCTCAAAAAATTATAACCTAAAAGGACAGCAAGGAAATTCAACAGCAAATCTATAAACGCATAAAAGATTTGTTCAATCTATACAAATAATTTTAGAAATACTTCATTTGAATAAAGTATAAAAAAAATACTGCTTAACCTGGATCAGCAGGTGGGGGAAGGATAAACATTTCTAGGAAAAAAACAAAACACTGCCCCAAAAAGGATACGACAAGAAAGGATACACTTTGCATGACAGTATTACAGCAGTATTTACGCAGGAATGCTTCTAAAGAAGAACAGCAGAATGCAGTTTAATTTTTTTCGTATTTTTCAGCATCAGATTTACAAATAAAGATTTTTTAAAAACACTGAAACTAATTTTTCCTTTAAAGTGTGTATAAGACTTGTGACTACCGAGTATCAATGTACAATAAAATTCAAGTATTCAAGCCAAAGGGACTAAACATTAAGCAAAATTTTCTTACTCATATTTGTCAGTTAAACACCAGTAATTGTGATCAATTTAATTCATGTTCTTTTAGTTTACAGAGAAAGAAAAATTTAAATAAAAAACCCAAAGGAATATATTTCCACTTATTTCTTAAACAATATAACAAACATTAACTTTTAAAATGCTTAATTCTACCATATTTAATCATCAAATTAAGTATGCACTAAAATTATTTTAAAGACAAAAGATTTAACTCTACAAACCTATATTGTTGTGAAGTTTGTTAATAATTTTATATATGTATTGTACAATTTTTTTTAATGATAGTTTTATTTTAATTTTTATTTATTTTAACATTTACTTCAGGTTAATTTTAAGAGCTAAAAAAATGCAGCTTTAAGTGTTTATCCCAGGGGTTTTCAAGTTCTGGTCCCAGGATCAGATGCCTCACAATTACCTGAAAAGTCACTAATTTAGCAAATTTTCAGGTGCCAAGAAGGGTGACCAACCTGTCCTGGCTTGTCAGACACTTTCTCCATTTCAGCACTAAATGTCTGGCATCCTGGAAATTCCTCATTAAAAGGAAAACTGGAGTAGCTAGTGCCCTAGGCCCCCATATCAGACCTACCAAATCAAACACTCTTTCAGGGAAGGGAGGAACCTACAAATCCATATTTTATCAAGCTCTCCAAGTAATTTGATATATATTTGAGTTTAAGAACCACTGCTTTACTATAGGCAGAAAGTTAAAAAAAAAAAAAGAGTAATAGGTACACTCCCCTTATAAGAGTTAGTCTCCAAACTTAATTTTTACATACAAATGAGCTTTATTCTAGTTATAGTTTTGAACTTTAACGGGAATTACACCATAAACAGATATTTCCCTAAAAAAAAAAAAAAAAAAAAAAGGGGAAACCTGAATTACTATTCTATCAAACTTTTTTCTTTATCTCAAGAAATAGTCTTGTCTTTTTATTATGTTTTATTCACACTTACCTTTATTAATTTTTAACACTTTCTTTTTCCTTCCTTAGGATCTTGCTTTGGTCTAGCAGATCGAGCAAATTGCTAATATTTTAAAATTAAGGTTTCCTTCAGGAATACGCAAATAATCGTTTCTAAATAATGCTCAAAAACTTTCTAATGTTTGCTGGGAATATGGTTTTTAATTTACCCAGAGTGCCTCCTGCCTCTCTCTATGACTTGAGAGGAAATTAAAAATTAACTTTTTCTTTATAGTCATTGTTTTTTATACATGGACTTTTGCTTCTTTACCTATCCTGCTGATTTCTAGTTTGAAAACTACAACGACTACTGAAAGCAAAATGGTTAATAATGATATACTCTGGTTACTAAAATTCTCATGTAGAAATATAAATTACAATAACATGACAAAATGAAATAGTTTTTTTGACTCCAAATGTACTTCAGGATACTGTAGGCATGACTGTGTACTTTTGAGCTGCACAAGTGAAACATTTGAACTTGGCTGATATTGAACAACCTCATGCTGCTGAAGCTCCTTTATTAAAAATTTAAATAACATTGTCATGTAACTCAGCTAAGGTAGGTGTAACTGTAACTAAATGAATATCTACAGCTAGAATGCCAATTGTGGACATTTCTAAAGGGTAACATGAAAATTAATTTCAGTTATACTCTTCTAAAAATTATATAGTTTTGAAATAGATGGATTTAAAGGATACAACCACCATGGGTTTTCCAAAAAGCACATATCCATTAGCTTCCTTTAAGGCTTTTGCTGCTGCTTTCTCATTAGGAAGTCCAATGAAAGCCTGTCCTTTCATACGACCTTCTTTCATCAAACGTATATCAAACCTAGAAGGAAGAAAGAGTTTTGATTCAAAGAAGGTCAGTTTCAATGATGTGAATGAAAATGTGTTGAACAATTCAAAAATGTGCTATTTCAAATAAAAATGACTACCCCATTTGATAGGCACGTAAATCACTCAGTTTTCTAAAAATATATTTTGTGTTCTGCACTAAAATTGATTCTACAAGTAGGTGGTATTTGAGGCATATTTTTAACTATTCTCAACTATCATGAAAGTATGTGATTTTAAAATTATACTACTAGCAATTAGAAAAGAAAACTTCTTCAATTATTATTTATCTCAATTTTTTAAAAGTTCCTTACAGTCTGGTACTAGCTGCTCAAATGATTAAAAAAAACAACTATACAACCAACAATAGAAAAATACAAAGGGCTGATAACAGCCAGTTATAAGCAATTATAGAATTCATTATGTTATTATTATTATTATTATTTTTGAGACAGAGTCTCACTGTCGTCCTGGCTAGAGTGCAGTGGCCTGATCTTGGCTCAATGAAACCTCCACTTCCTGGGTTCAAACAATTCTCCTGCCTCAGTCCCACAAGTAGCTGGCATTACAGGCGTTCACCATCATGCACAATTAATTTTTGTATTTTTAGTAGAGATGAGGTTTCACAGGCCAGGCTGGTCTTGAACTAGTGACCTCAAGTGATCTCACCCACTTCAGCCTCCCAAAGTGCTGGCATTACAGGCACAATCCCAGCCTAGAGTTCGTTATATTACTATAAGCAATTATAGAACTTTGAGTAGAAAGAAACCTCAATCATTATCTAGGCAAAACCATCATCTTACAGGTGATGTCTAGAGACAGTGAGTCACTCTTCAAAGCAGATAACCAAAATCTAATGTCAGAAACACAAACCAAATTTTTAAATCTTAATACAGTGATCGATTCCATGGTGTATTCATTTTTCAAAATTTTGAGAGAAAATCATAGTCAAAAGCAACTTAGAAAAATCAGATTGTCATTTACAACTGAAATATTACCTAATATTTAGGGTATGAGACTACCCAAACAATACAACATAAAAAGTATTAAAAAATACAGTAAAATATTTTTTTCTTTTTCTTACAATCATGACTCAAAGATGGCAACAATGAAAAAGACCTAGCATTTTGCATGGCCAGCAAAAGAAAAAATATTTTGGCATCCTGTAAAGAAGAGGTATTTGCCCCTAATGGATATAAATGTAGAATTTTAAAATATTGTTCCATTTGTGTATTTGATCTAAAAAAGTACAGAAGCCAGATAAGATTTTTAAAATATTGGTGTCACTTGAAAATTAAAATGAAATTTAGTTAGAGTCACTTCTTTATCTGTTCTCAAAAGACTATCTTTTCTACTTCTTCCTACTTTTAATTTGTATGACAGTATGGCAGGGAGTCTCTCATACTTTGGAATTACCAAATATGGTAGTGTAAAGAATGAAATTCTAACTCCAAATATTAGATATGATTTGGCTCTGTGTCCTCACCCAGATCCCATTTGAACTGTAACTCCTACAATTCCCATGTGTCATGGGAGGAACCCCGTGGGAGGTGATTGAATTACAGGGGCAGGTCTTTCCTTTGCTGTTCTCTTGATAGTGAATGAGTCTCACAAGGATCTGATTTCTTTTTGCCTGCCACCATCCACGTAAGATGTGACTTACTCCTTCTTGCCTTCTGCCATGATTGTGAGGCTTCCCTGGACATATGGAACTGTGAGTTTCCCATTAAACCTCTTTCCTTTCTAAATTGCCCAGTCTCAGGTATGTGTTTATCAGCAGTATGAAAACATAATAATAAAGCAAACTGGTACCGGTAGAGTGAGGCGTTGCTGAAAAAGATACCCAAAAATGTGAAAGCAATTTTGGAACTGGGTAACAGGCAGATGTTGGGACAGTATGGAGGGCTCAGAAGAAGACAAGAAAATGTGGGAAAGTTTGGAACTTCCTAGAGACTTGTTGAATGGCTTTCACAAATGTTGATAATGATACGGACAATGATATGGACAGGCTGAGGTGGTCTCAGATCGAGATTCAGAACCTGTTGGGAACTGAAGCAAAAGGTGACTCGTTACATTTTAGCAAAGAGACTGGTGGCATTTTGCCCCTGCCCTAGAGATATGTGGAACTTTGAACTTCAGAGAAATGATTTAGGGTATCTGGTGGAAGAAATTTCTAAGCAGCAAAGCATTCAAGAGGTGACTTGGGTGCCATTAAAGACATTCGGTTTTAAAAAGGAAACAGAGCATAAAAGTTAGGGAAATTTGCAGCTTGACAATGGTAGAAAAGAAAATCCCATTTTCTGAGGAGAAGTTCAAGCCAATTGCAGAAACTTGCATAAGTAACAATGATCCCAGTGTTAATTGCCAAGACAATGAGACAAATGTCTCCAGGGCATGTCAGAGGTCTTCATGGCAGCTCCAATTATCACGGGCCTGAGGCCTAAGAGGAAAAAGTAATCTTCTGTGCTGGACTCAGGGTCCCCATGTTGTGTGTAGCCTAGGGACTTGGTGCTCTGCCTCCCAGCCTGTCCAGCTCTGGCTGAAAATGGCCAACATAGAGCTTGGGTGGTGGCTTCAGAGGGTGCAAGCCTCAAGCCTTGGCAGCTCCCACATGGTGTTAAGCCTGCCCGTGCACAGATGCCAAGAGTTTGGATTTCAGAGGATATAGAGAAATGCCTGGATGTCCAGGCACAGTTTGCTGCAGGGGTGGGGCTCTCATAAGCCACAGCAGTGCAGAAGGGAAATGTGGGTTTGACACCTCCACACAGAGTCCCTAATGGGGCATTGCCTAGTGCAACTGTGAGAAGGGAGGCACCATCCTCCAGACTCCAGAATGGTAGATCTACTGACAACTTGTGCCATGCCCCTGGAAAAGCTGCAGATACTCAACGCCAGCCCATGAAGCAACTGGGAGGGAGGCTGTACCCTGCAAAGCCACAGAAGTGGAGCTGCCCAAGGCCATGGGAACCCACCTCTTGCATCAGTATGACCTGAACATGAGATATGGAATTGAAGGAGATCATTTTGGAGCTCTAAGATTTGACCTTCCCACTGGATTCTGGACTTGCATGAGGCCTGCAGCCCCTTTTGTTTTGGCCAATCTCTCTCATTTGGAAAGGCTGTATTTATGCAGTGCTTGCACCCCACTGTATCTAGGAAGTAACTAACTTGCTTTTGTTTTTTAGGCTAATAGGCAAAAGGGACTTGCCTTGTCTCACATGAGACTTTGGATTGTGGCCTTTTGAGTTAATGCTGAAATGAGTTAAGACTTTGGATGACTGTTGGGAAGGCATAATTGGTTTTGAAATGTGAGGACATGAGATTTGGGAGGGGTAAGGGGTGGAATGATATGGTTTGGCTCTGTGTCCCCACCCAAATCTCATCTTGAATTTAACTCCCATAATTCCCATGTGTCCTGGGAGAAACCCAGGGAGGTGATAGAATTATAGGAGTGGTTCTTTCTTGCCCTGTTCTCCTGGCAGTAAGTGAGTCTTATGATCTAATGGCTTTAAAAAAAACATGGGAGTTTGCCTGCACAAGATCTCTTTTTGCCTTCCACCATCTATGTAAGATGTGACTTGCTCCTTCTTGCCTTCTGCCATGATTGTGAGGCTTCCCTGGCCACGTAAAACTGTGAGTTCTCCATTAAACCTCTTTCCTTTGTCAATTGCCCATTCTTGGGTATGTCTTTATCAGCAGTGTGAAAACAAACTAACACATTAGCTTTTATAATATTTATAAATCACAACTCTCTCTTGCTTTTACAAAACTGGAAGGCTTGCTAATGCAGTTCTTTTAAAAGATGACAATTTACTGTCAGAATAAGAATCTAAAAAGTTTTGCTTCATGGCTATATATTCCTGGAGGATTCATTAAAAGAATGGGTTTAAAGGATAGTCTTTACATCAGAAGACTCAGCATCACCCAGCACCTTTTTAGAAACACAAATTCATGAGTCCTATCCATGAAACCTAGAAAATCAGACTCTCTGCAGATGGGCCTAGAAAACTGTTTTGCCAGGCTTTCCAGGTGATACATGGGCAATGTTAAAGTCTGAGAACCATGGATTTAGAGAGATTAGGGTCAGAATGTATCACAAGGCCTGTTTCTGTAAAGAGCTTTATTAGAACACAGCCATGAATATTTGTTCAGGTTTTATTTATGGCTGCCTTCAGAATACAACTACAAAATTGAGTAGTTCCAACAGACACAGTATGGTCTGCAATAAAATAAAAATATTAAAATTTTGCTACCTGCCCATTTGCAGAAAAAGTTTGTCAACTCCTATTCTAGACATCTAAAAGATCATTCTAGACCAACTTCTGCAAATAATTTTTTATCTCTAAAAGGAAAATACTGGGATTAAAACAGTGGTAGATTTGTAACAGGTAAAAAGAAAATATAATTTAATATTATATTTTACTGTCACTTACATGATCCGCTGTGTTTCTGATGAAAAGTCAACATATCTTCCAAAAATATATTTAAGGTCCTAGAATTTCAATTAAAAAAAGACAAATAATAAAGCCAGGAAAAAGAACTGCTAATCAATCAATCAATCAATCAATCCATCAATAGAAGAGGTCATACAGGACTAAAGTAGGCTTTAATCTAATGTGACTGTTGGCCTTTCTAAACGGGAAATTTGGACATAAATATATAGGGAGTAAGCTATGTGAACAGAAAGTCAGAAATTGTGGTGGTGTTGCCACAAGCCAAGAAAGGTCAAAGACTGCCAGCTTCAGCATAATAGCAGAAGCTATGGGAGAGGCACAGAACAGATCCTTCCCTCACAGCCCTCAGAATGAATCAATTCTGCCATACTTTTGACTTCAGTTTGCCTTCAGAACTGTGAGACAATACACCTCTGTGTTTCAGCCACATGGCTTGTGGTACTTTGTTATGGCAGCTCTAGGAAATTAATACATACCCCAAACTCTGTCTCAGTATTTACTGCCAGTGAAGTCAAGCTATGAGAATATTATTTTAATAAAAAATTAACCTGAAAATACTAAACAATAATTTGTCATGCCCTGAAGTACAGTAAAAAACCCATTCTTAGAGGTAGTTTCACCAGACTATAACATATCAAGTATAAAACCTTCAAATTATTTTCATTTACGTGAAAAAAACTTTATACCTACCTTTTCTTGAACATGTTTAGCTAAATTCTTTACATAAATTCTACAGTTTGGTTCACCAGGTTCATAACTTCTGAAAACTGAAAGTGTTTCCATTTCTTATTAAGAAACAAAAAAACAAAAATATAAAATTAAAATACTTTAGCCAAGTTTTTAAAGAGAATTATAATATTCAAATACAACTGTAAAACAGACGAAATGAGTTTTATGAAAATGTTAAAACCATAAAATTAGTAACAATATTACAAATGAGTTTAAATATACTCACCGAAAATCTGAACTAATTATATATATAAAAAAATAATTTTTGATTTAAAAATTTCAGGCATTTAGAATAACTAAACTAAAATTTGTCCAATAAAATATCTACTATTAATGGTCCATTAAGATGAGTCATGTTATAAAAAACAGTAAAGCATATATGTTATCAATTGATTTGTGTAATTATTTCGCCTAAAGTGAATTTTCCAAACCATCAGCCATCTCCATATTTAAACAAGAATGAACTAAACACAGTATCAGGCATTTCGGACTAACCATGGCCCCAGAACCCCTGTATAGCTCCTCCCATCTAATGTCAGTAATCTGTTCCAGAAAACTAAGATAGATATTTTGTATAAAAATCCTAATTGGAAGTCTATTTCCCTTTACTATAGGAAAAATTACAAATCAGTCTAAAGCCTCTAAATATTTTCTGACAATGTACTAAAACAGTGAAAGTCTTTGGGAAGTAGAAAACTATCATGTGAGGACATAAAATACTAAATCATAGATTTCTAATCACCATTTGTTTTTGAAATAATTGGTTTGTGTGTATCTCAGACACAGTATTTGTTGACAGTGTATCAGCTACATTTGGAATATGTAACTCCAGACGTGTAGGACACAGTGACTTAACTTAAATGCCACATAAAAGTTTTAGGAATGAAAACAAAAATTTTTCCCAAATATAGACTGGAAACACTGTAGGAAAAGGAAAGTCTCCACGCGCCCACATTAAGTATGAGTATTTAAAAAAAAAAAAAAAACAGAAGAGGTGATGACAAACATTAACTGGAAAGATTTAAAGTATGTGTCTTAAATTAAAGTAAATGACATGACAGATAGTTTTGTTTCTGTAGAGACAAAGATATGTAAAATGGAATATGTTCTTAGTTTATTCCGTGACATTACCTTCTCTAGAAATTCTGCCCTTTTCCAATTCTCTTCTAGAAATACATTCTGATGGCATTTCATCAGAGTCTTCTTTAATTTCCTCTGTGATGTTCAAATTAGGTTTGGGGAAGATTTTTCCGAATCCTATATTGGATGCATCAACTTCAGTAGCAGGTATATCTAAGAATTCAAAGTTAACATTAGCCGTTAAGAATCTTTCCTTTAAAACCAGTTTTTGGGTTCCCCCCTCCTATTATATATTTAGTAATTTACCTTTTGGCACAAATTCTTTGGTGTTTCTCAATATACTGAAAGACGCATATGCAAACTTTTTCTATAAAGCTCCAAATAGTAAAAAAATTGTGTTAGGCCAGGAGTGGTGGCTCACGCTTGTAATCCCAGTACTTTGGGAGGCCGCAGTGGGGCAGGGGGAATCTGAGTTTGTGAGTTCAAGACCAGCCTGAGCAGCATGGAGAAACCTTGTCTCTACTAAAAATACAAAATTAGCCAGGCGTGGTGGCCTATGCCTGTAATACCAGCTACTTGGGAGGCTGGGGCAGGACAATCGTTTGAACTTGGGAGGTGGAAGTTGCGCTGAGCAGAGATCATGCCATTGCATGCCAGCCTGGGCAACAAGTGAAACTCCGTCTCAAAAAAAAAAAAAAAAAATTATGTTAAAGGGTGACTAGCCATGATGTAAGAAAAATTTATAAAAAGAAAAATGTTAAATAAAACATACAAAAATGGAGCTATCTGAAAAGGCACTAAAAAAAGCACCACATTCTCACTCACCATGCAAAACAGGAATTAAAACTACTCAGTTTTTCACTCACTATGTTTGCAATACTTACTAGAATTCTATCCTATATTCAGAAAAGTGCTCAAAAATATATGTACAAATACATATTCCAGTAGTTTCTGTAATAGTAAAAGAATGGAAACAATCCTAAACTTCTATGAAAAAGGCATGATAAAATATTGATAAAATTATATTATGGGCTATTATATAGCCAAAAAAAAGTAAAGTATGTAAGTTTATATTCTGACATAGTAAGCTACCCCTAACTAGATTGTAAAGTTCAAAAGCGAGAACATGCCAAACTTGTCCATGGAGCCCACTAGATAACACACTTTCAACAAGTCATTATTCAGTGAATCATAAATACCATCAAAATATAACATTCATTTAAAAAAAATAAGAGAAAAATGTGTTTATACATGTAAAGGATAAGGTCTAGAAGGATACATACACATACACACGCCAAATTGCTAACAGTATTTGCCTTTAGGTAGCAGGACAGAGGAGAGGGAGGTTTGAGGTGTTAACATTTTAACAATTTTACTTTCTGTTTTGATTACATTTCTATCAACTTGTATTATTTCAGAAATTTCAAAATAAAGACTTGAACAAAAGAACACTATTATAATATCAAATTCATGATTAAAACAAGCAAAAAAGAATTATATAATTTCAATACATTGTTATTAAACTTAAGAATAGTGTTCTTGGCAAACAATCTTCCATGACTTTTGTATTAAATATATATTTACATTAAGTCTACAACTCATAAAAGTCACACTGCTTGTTTTCTAACCAATAACATTAACACAATTGCACTAATAAAACCATAGGCCACCACCTGAAACAAGCAAGGAAAAACTCAGTAGCAGAAACTCCGTTATATTTTTAGTTTAAATATCAGCAAAAAAACCACTGAATTTCATTCTAAAGGTCATTACTAGCAAAGGGCAACAGTGACGATCTCACCATTTACCATCAATTTCTGTTATACAAAAAAGTTGAAAGTGGATACTATTCCATGATTTTGAGAAAGAACTAATTGCATTTTTTAAATATAGTTGACAAACACTAAAATACAAAAACATTACATGTAAAACTTAATTGTAACACAAAAAGTATTTCATTTCAGCTTTTGAAAGAAGATTAACCTTACCATGATCTTTTTCCTCACAATTTTGTTCCTTCTCTAAATCTTTCTTAAATGCAGCTGGCATGTCAGTAGATATATGGAATGCAATTCTTTTATTACCTACAGGTTGTGGTTGGTCAAATACATCTGAGGGTAACAGCACTGGATGTAAACTGTTATTTAAAAACAATCACAGCATTAGTTTGTAATTGCAAATAAAATCCTGAGTAAAGTATTATTTCAAATTTACTTTAAATTTAACAAGTTAACACTGACAAAGGATTCACACATTTGGTATTGAATAAAGTGAGTGACTCAGATTTAATGGTTTAATAAACTTCAATGATCTCATATAGGTACTACTAAATTATTAATTTACACATAAAAAGATTGAGGCTCAGAGATGTTAATAGTTAGTATAAAGTCATTCTGTAAATGACAGAGAAGCAATTTGATGACTACTGGTTCTAAACCGCAGGATATTTACTAATATGCAAAATAGTGCATTCTATGTTTGATATTTTAAGCATATCTATGTCAGTTAACACAGTTAACACTAGACTTTGAGGACCTTTGTATGAAAATGTAATGTAAAATATCTTGATAACTCTTTATATGGATTATATGATGAAATAATATTTTGAATATAATGAATTAAATATTAATAAGTTATATTATCAATATTAATTTCATCTGTTTCTTTTCATGGTTTTAATGTGACTACTGACAATTTTAATGTGGCTCATATCAATTTCTATTGTTCAGGATCACTATAGAGATTCAAAGAGAAAAAAGAGTAACACATTTCAAATCAAACATGTATATAACAAATATCATTTTACTAGCAAGTTCTGGACTATTTAAAAAAAAAATAAGAAGGTGGGTGGGGGAGAAGAGAGAGAGAAAAAGAAAAAGAGAAAGAAATGAGGCAAGTAAAAACAGAGGAGAGGTAGAAAGAAGGGAGATAAAAAAGAGGACAGTAAAGTAAAATTAAAAGTGGAATATTCTGAGACCTGAGGTAGTCAACAGTATCAAACACTGGTCAACTGTGAGAGAATTATGAATACTTGTAAATTTGGCAAATAGGAAGCCAATTTTAAACCAAAAACATTGACAGGAAACAAATGTCAGATTGAAGAATGATGTGAATTAAGCAAGTAAACAAAGTACATCCAGAAACCCTCGTTTCACAATTCAAATAAAATTACCTGTGTGAAGGACACAAAGGTATATTCAACATATCCTTTATTTTTCTCTTTTTCCTTACATGGCGTGGCTTTATTGTTTTGGGTCTTTTGGGCTGAAGATTTGCTAGTTCCATTAGTTTGTTCATTCTACAATGAGGAGAGGGATGATAAACAAAATTTCCTTATCTAGAAGCATAGCTATATACCACTGTTTCTATTAAATTTAAATTTGTATTTGGTATATAATTTAAATTATAAAATGATTTACTTACATCAAGTTTACTTATATAGAATACCATCAATTCAGAGATAATCAATTTGATAAAACCTCAAAAAATTGCCTTGCTCAGCTTTCATCTTACTTTAAAAAAATTCAAAATAGACTTAATTACATGTTATCATTTTTTTAAATGTACATTTCATCATAAGCAGCTGCCCAAATAAAATGCCTGGACTTCATGCCAAACAGATGAAAAAGACACAATAATAAAATCTATATGATATTAATGTTCTTAAATCATTTTGATTCATATTCTAATTATTAAACAGCGCCTGGACTAGATTATGTCATTTAAAAGCATTTCATGCGTAACTGTTGCAAGTCAGTCATTATATAAACAGGGTAACTTAAAGCACTTGAGAACAGTGTTCAAATACTGTACTATGCTCTGAAGTAGTTTCAGCAAGTGACAACACCTTGTACCTAGCTTTTCTCCATTAAAAATATAAATATTTAATATTAAGGACAGATCTTATCTAGGCATTTTTGTATCATTTACAGAGCAGGAACTCAGAAACCGCTAGTCCCAGCTCTACTTCTCAGGGTTGCATTGTAAAATTTGAAAGCAAAATAAATACATATACTCAACATAATATGAAGAGAGGAAGGAGGGTATTGTTAAAATAAGCTTTAAACTTTTTCACCATGTGAAAAAAATGAAAACATAAAGTTTTAAACTGTATTAAAAAACCATGGTTACCAAAAACTTTATGAAAAAAAAATAGTTATTCAAACAAAGTGTATGTCTATATTTATAAATTGCTGACCCAAAGTACACCAAGCCTCTACAACAGTGCCAGTATATATTCAGTAATCAATAATTAGTTGCTGAATAAATGAATAGTACAGGTTGAGCACTCCTTATCCAAAAATGATTGGAACCAGAGGTATATCAGATGTTGGAATATTTCCATATACATTATGAGATCTCTTGAGGATGAGACAAAAGTTTAAACATGAAATTCATTTACGTTTCACATAAAACTTAAGCACTGAAGGTAATTTTATATATTATTCTTAATAATGTACATGAAACAAAGTTTGTGAACATAGAAACATCAAAAAGCAAAAGTGTTGGCTAGACATGGTGGCTCACGCCTACAATCCCAGCACTTCGGGAGGGCGAGAAGGGTGGATCACTTGAGACAAGCCTGTGCAACATGGTGAAACCCTATCTCTACAAAAATACAAAAAATATTAACCAGGCATAGTGGCACAAAGCTTGTAGTCCCAGCTACTGGGACTGATTAAGATCACTTGAGCTCAGGAGACTGAGGACGTATTAAGACATGACTGCACCACTGCACTCCACTTAGGGCAACAGAGTAAGACCCTGTCTTAAAAAGAAAAAAGAAACAAAGAAAACAAGCAGAGGTATCACTAAGCCAGCCAAATGTGGTATCATACTGCTACTTAAAAAATCTCAGACTTTGAAGCATTTTGGATTTCAAATTTAGTTTAGAGAAACTCAAATATTTTACTTTAGAGATATTCAAAAATACTGCATGACTTTTGTTTTATTTAGGGCTTGTTACATTTCCTGAAGATAACAGAAAAGCATGAAACTAGAGCTTGGTACATGCAAAAGCTATGTTCTCTCTCATGACTCAAGATGAATTACTGGCAGAATTCCACACTAAATCCTTTAATGGAAACCTAAGTAAACAAACAAAAAAAAGGTTTGGCCAGTTTATTATAGCATTTCTAATTACTATCATTATTTTTATAAAGAAAGTGAAGTTCACAGAGTTTAAGTAATTAACCAAGAGTTAAAAACGCTATACTATTCTTTTTTTTTTTTTTTTTTTTAAGCAACAAGTTAAAGTAACCATCTATCAGGAACTGCCAGCTTCCCTAAATGCCTCTGTTCAAGACAGATACCCTAATCACTCCAATTTTGTAGTTTCAACCCTACCTACAACTCGACTAGAAAGAGAATACACTGTACATTGTACCACTACTTAGGTGGACAATTAGTGACAGTCAAATTGCTGCTCATGATTTGTTCACGTTGCTCAGAGTCTCTGCTGGGGTTCTGCCTCATGCCAACCACTCACACCTCCTATATACCCCTTCTTCCATGCATAATCACCTAAGATTTTGATCATTTTCCCATAACAATCTTGTAGACAGGGGTAGACAAACTATAGCTCAATGACCAAATCCACCTAGCTGCCTATTTTTATAAAGTCTAGTTGGAACAAGGCCACACCAACTAATTAGGTATTATCCATGGATTCTTTCCCATTTAAGAATAAAACTGAGTAGTCACAACAGAGACCACACAACTCACAAAGTCAAAAATAATTTACTCTTTGGACCTATAAAGAAACTGTTTTGCAGTTCCTGTTCTAAGCTAGCCTGTGGATTATACACATGAACATTATTAACGTATTAGTATCAGAATCATTGAATAAAATATATAGGCAAAAAGTACCAATAAAAATAATTAATCTGCAGTAGTTACTATGAATAGTTTTGTATAGAATTCTAAAGAATTACTCTAGAAATTATTCTGACGTAAATAGAGTCCAGAAGAATAAGCATCTGTCAAAACATGAACATGACTGATGTTTATTATTTATAATAGTTACATTCAAAGGTTACCATAGAACACTAAATTAGTGAATACTGAACCACTGTCCCTAGGAAAATTCAGGGTTAGGTTCCTGGCAGCCTCTGTTTACAATATCTTGTCATCTGATCAATACATTACCTTGTTTAGTATGTATTTATGTCTAAAAGTACCTTACTTAATATACACTGTTGATTCATCAAAATCAAACTCAGTCAATACCACCATAACTCTGGCCTGAAAGAAAGCTGAAAGAAAACTATGTATTTTCTCTGTCAGGCCCAACACAGCCTTCTTCAGCTTAAGAACACTAAAGAGCACTCCCAACACCATGTTCAGGGGCCATTTTAAAAAAAAAAGAGTCACAACAAAAAACTCAAAAATGTGAAAAAAGATAGTGTTGAATAGACCATGAAAAGAATACTTGTTTGTAGTATGAAAACTCAAACAAGAAGGCGGAAGGTCTCTTTATTTGACTTCATCTGGGAACCTGTGTGTTGACTGACTCAGATTTTTCACCACATGGCACAATGTCCATTCTCATAAAAGACATTAAAAAGCATGTCGATTATTGATTTTGGAGTCACAAACAAATTTTAGCAACTAGGCAAATTTGCAAATATGGAATCCACAAATAACAAGGTTCAAATGTACTTTATACTATCATAATCATTAATCTAAAGAATTATGCATAATCCAAAAATTTTCACTTAGGTCTCCGTATCTATTCTCAGGTCTTAGTTTATAGCTACTATATGAGCTTGAGGGGCTGGGGGGCTGAGACAAATTCTAATCATCCAAAATTATGAAGCATTATGTACACAAAATCTAGGGAGAGCAAGAGTCTCTTTCTCATATTATATGTTTCTTGGAAACTAAACAAATATTTCACGTTACAAACCTCTGTCGGTCCTCATCATCACTGCTTTCATATTCTGATTCTGCGCTAGATAATTCTTCATCCTCGTCTGGCAAAGGAGGTTCCTCAGGTGGCTGGGGAGATGTGGGTGGAAGAGGTGCATGCAGTGGCATATAGTCTTCATACTAATTAAAAGAATAAAACAAAAATACTATGGCAGTCTGATATATTTATAGAACAAACCCCATTTGAATACTTGATTCTCATTTCTATTACATTTTTTAACACATTCTATACATGCTGAGGAAACACTTATTGTGACAGATCACTAGCTGATCACAAAATTTGTCTCGTCTTCCTTTACCCTCAGCTGAACTAAATTTTCAAACCTCCTCTGCAGTTCTGTTTCTCCCCTTGTAAGTGAGTTATAGCCAGTGAAATGAGCCCATTAAAAACTCCCACATATAATTCTTCCTTCCTGATCTGTAGACTGTGTAGTATTGTCTTCATCAACCTCGGAAGGCACGTAGTAGAAACAACTCAGGTGATTTTCATGGCTCAGTAGTGCAAAATATCCCTGCGGTCTACTTTTGGAAAGGATCTGATATAACCAAAAATAAATTTTATTGTATTAAATGGCTAAGAATTTAAGTTTTATTTGTTAACAGCAACCATTATAACCTTAACTAATACTCCAACAATGCATCAACCAATGAGTAGGAGTTGGGATTACAAGGAAAAAAGAATCCTCAAGTTAATAGTACATACATTAGAAAAGCAGCAAATCCCAAACCAAATTCGCTTCTATTCCTATAAAAACTTTCAAAGTATTAATAATTTTGCACTGCTATTATTTATAAATATACTAAGAGTACTACAGAAAAATAACTACAATTATTCAAGAGCAGGTATAGCCTACTATCTAAATTACTGACAGATTTGCATAGTAAAGTCTAGTAAAAAATATCAGCACCCTTTTTTCTTTTGCAAACAAAGCTCTATTTGTGACAAAACCAGAATAATGAAATCTTTAGGTAATTTAGCTAAGTGTAATTAACTAATAAGATGGCATAATGGTTTGGGTCAAAACACTTAACATACTAGATGACATGATAGCCTTTATTGCCAAAAGCATTTCTTTCATATTCTGGCTTTTCCTCACTTTCAGTTCCCAGTTCTTCTATTATCTTCATATTACTTTATATACATTCCTTAATTTCAATGTACATCAGAGGTTGCTACAACACCTGTATAATTCAGCTTTAAAATCCCATTCAGGAAGAGAAATTTTGACTTGAAAATTCTAAGAGCTTTCTTACCATGGGAGGTCGCGCAGTAATTGGTCCAAAAGGTGTGGGCAAATTCATTTTATTCATAAGATGAAGGACCTTAAAGTTGTAAAACATTTAAATTCACATATAAAATGGTTTAACTCACATCTTGTATTTTAGGTACTAAAAAACTTTCCAATAATAGTATTTATTAATTTACTGTAAAGGAAGACCTGTCCGTCTCTTGCCTTTATAATCTCTGCATAACGTAAAACAAAGCGTGGGCATATCTCAGATCAACCTTCCTAAAATGTTTATCAATTCTACATGTTCAATTATTCCCAAGGCTAAGAATGTAATGTTCTTGCAATATAAAACTTACTATAATGATTTTATATCTTTACCCCAATTACTGTAAAATTATTAAACAGAGAAATACAATAAAGAATATAAATACCTTCTATACTTTGAACTTCAAAAGAAAATTACTACCAATATTTTTAAGCATTTGCTCAGGAGTCTACTATACTTTTTCTTTCCAGAATCTCTATGTTAATACTGTATTCTAAAGTAATAGAGAGAATTACCACAAATTACATTTCCTAAACTAACTTCTGTTTATTAGTATCCACTTCTATCTTATAAAAGTGTTTACTTAAAAGTAGTAAATATTTCATTACATTTAAAAATACTGTATCACTGCCTGTCTGGAATTAGTCTGATTACTACTTTTATGAGAATCAGCATGAAAAATAAAGTACCAAGCTATATAAAAAAGTCCTTTGAGGAAAAGTTTTATTCTACTTACCTGTACATAGAACTTAGGCACGCTTGCCAAAGCATTTACTATGTTTGCTAGGATTGTGCTGGAAGGTGGTGGGTACATATACTTGAGGCATGAATTTAAAGGAAAAGTCAACCTATAAAATAAAAAATAAAATAAAAAACATTTAAAATGCTTATGTTTTCATAATTTCATATCAGTAACTAATTTTAGGTGACATGATAACAAACACATTGCTCAAATAATACAGTACTATTAGATTTACCTTGTTCCTAAAAGATCCAAAGTACATTTACAAAGAAACTTGTTTTCTGATTTCAGTAAAGAAAAATAAGGCACTGTATTTCTTAGCAGAGGTTTATCTTGTAGCTCTGAGATTTTAATAGATGCTTTCTCTGCACTGAATTCAGTGACAAACTAATAACTCAAAATGTTTATTCAACATATTAAATATATGACATCAAATATCTTTGTTTTTAAAATTATCTTATTTGCAATATAAGATATTATAACGTAACACAAAACAAAAGCAAAAGAACAAAAAGCAAATAAAAATGCTAACCCATGGTTCGGTGCAATTCCATTTTCTACTGTTAAATAACCCAGTTCTTTCTTTTCTTTATCATCTTCAACAGGGTCATCAGACCTAGGACATACAGAATCAAAGTTGATCTTATCTTTCCAAAGAGTGAAAAACTGCACACAGAACAGATAAATTACCTTTTCAAACATCTCATTATAAAAACAGTTTCATTTTAAAAACAAAACAAAACCAAAAAAAAACAAACCTCTCAAGTATTTCACAAGCAAACACCAATAAATGGAAAGGGAACTAAAATTAACCTTTACTGAATCCCTTCTGCATTATTATTACATTGAGCACTGCACATTTTCATTTACTCTTCAGAACAAGCCTATGAAGATGGGATGGTAACTGTCACTGACCAAAAATAAAACTGAAGTTTATATGGTATACAATAGTGGTAATCAAATGTCTTTAATATGTGTCATATTCTCTTGGAGAGTTTATTAAAATGCAGACATCTAGAACATCTCCCCATCCCTTCCATCGCCAATTTAAGTTTCTGATTCAGTAAGACTGGGTTAAAGCTGTAGTTCTGCATTTTGATCAGTTTTCCAGATGATACAGCTCATCTAGGAACCACACTTTGAGAACCATTAGTGTAAAGCAAATTTGTGAAGGTGTAACTACCAAGAGTCACAGGTGGGAACCAAATGCCAGTCTTGATTTGATGACACTGACAAAGACTTTATCCTAGTTATTTTCCCTCCATTTAAGGTTGAGGATGAATTCATTTAAGCCCATCCTCTTCCCACTTTACACTGATTAACTTGTAATATTAAATCTGGTTCCTAACGCACAAATAGGAGCAAAAATAAAGATACTGTTTTACTGTACTAGATTTAATGAAAGAATCTGTCATCATTCATCCAATTATTTACTTGCTAGTTTGAAAACAATACAATAACTCTATCACTGATTAAAAAACATTTTTAAAATGTTACAAGAATGTATTATCTGCATACCTTTTTTTTTTTTCAGAGCCTGAAGTGGGACATGGGGAGTGAACATGATCTTGCTCTTTTGCAAATTCAACGACTAAAGTATGACCTAAAAGTTTCAGCTGATGGAGTCTTGTCAATGCCTTCAGTTAAAAGAACAAGAGCAAACATTTTATAATTGTACCAAAAATGATTTATTAGAGACCAGTTTTCATACTTTTTTTTTTTGCTAATGCTGTAAACATTTCCTTGACTATTTCCTAATTTACTTCTAAACTCAGGCTATCAAGCCTTTGTTACTAACTGAAGGACTATTTCCTATAACTTAGCAAAACACAAATCTGGCTAAATCCCACTGTATGCCACCTCTGCTTATACCCAGGCAGCTGAAAATGGCTAGAAAACTAACAAATTTTCCTGACCTCAATTTAAATTTGTAACAACTACCACAAATCTCAGGGTGACCTTTAATGGTGCCACAAAATTACTTGTTACAATCTTAGTCTGTTTTTTCTACAAATATCTAAGATAATATTTTGTACTTTCTCCTTGTTCCTTAACCTCACAATATTTCGCCTGCATTCTGTTAGTCTTGCACCTTGTTTCCAACTTCGAGACAACTGAAGTGATGACATGAGAATGTCAGACTCCCACTCTAACTCCCCATCTACCAGCATATGCAAGCACAAATTCTATGTTCCATCTGTTATCATTTATTAACTATCCACATGCCTACCTAAATCCAGTTGCTTGACCTACATACTAAATTCCAACCTCTCATCTACTCAAGGGTCTTTATTTAGCTATGCTCTGGAAATGTGTACAGTGGGGGGTGTGGGAAACGAAAAACCAAACATTGTATGTTCTCACTCCTAAGTGGGAGCTAAGCTGTGAGGATCCAAAGACATAAGAATGATACAATGGACTTTGGGAACTCAGAAGAAAGTGCAGGAAGGGAGTGAGGGATAAAAGACTTCACAATGGGTACTCTGTATATTGTTTGGGTGATAGGTACATCAAAATCTCAGAAATCACGACTGAAGAACTTATTCATATAAGTTCTTTAAACACCACCTGTTCCCCTCAAAACCTACTGGAATAAACAAAATAAGAAATGCTTGCTTCTATCTTCAAAATATATAAAGAATCTAACCAGTGCTAACCACTACCATTGTGGTCAAGGCAACCATGATTTCTTGAGTGAATTACAATATTTTAACTGATTTCCCTGTTTCTACCTTCTCTCCCTTCAGTCTAGTCACAACAGCCAAAGCAATCCTTTGAAATATGTCAGATCATGTCACCCCTTTGTTCCAAAGGCTCCCTATTTTACTCACAGTAATCTAGGTTCCTTCCTATGATCTACATAATATAGATTCTATGATTTCTCTGACTTCAAATTCAATGATCGCTCCCACTGTGTCTGCTCCAGTCACAGTGGCTTCCTTGAACAACATGACAGGCATGGGCACACCCTACAGCCCCTGTTCCAGCTGTTCCTCTAATTCAAATGCACTTCTCCCAGAAATTTCATTAGCTAACTTCTTTCACATCCTTCATGCTGTTGTTCAAATATAACCCTAACTACAGCCTGACCTCCCACTTAGCACTCCTGATCTTATTGCTCCACTTGTCCTTTTTCCATAGCTTCTATCATCTTATAAAATATTAAACAATTAAGTTTATTATTTATCTGTCTCCCCTTTTGAGAATGTGAACTATAATGATCTTTGTTTTGTTCACATATATCCCAAAACCTAAAACAGTATCTAGCACATAGTAGGCACTTAACATTTTTGAACACATGAAACTACAAGCTTTAACCAGGGACCGATTTTGTGAAAGACAATTTTTCTACAGACTGGGGGAAGGGGAAGGAGATGGTTTCAAGATGAAACTGATTCACCTTGGATCACAATAAGGCATTAGTAAGATTCTCATAAAGAGCACGCAACCTAGATCCCTTGCATGTGCAGTTCACAACAGGGGCCAAGCCACTGCTGATCTGACTGAAGGTGGAGCTCAGCAGATGTGGAGAGTGGCTGTTAATACAGATGAAACTTCCTCAGCCTGCCAGTCACCTCCTGCTGTGCTGCCCAGTTCCTAACAGGCCATGGCTGGGTACCTGTCTGTGTCCCGGGGTTTGGGGATCCCTGCCTTACATCATCATACAAAGTTAGTTTTAATATTTCAGTAATTTTCAAGACCCTAAATGAACTGTAGGCCTCTTCATGATCAGTGAAGCCTTGATTATCTCAATGGAGGTCATCTAACCTGACTTGCTTCAACCTTCTTCCTCTAAAAATGGGTATTACATATGTTCTTATTTTCAAAGATTTATGGATTTTCATTTTTAATGTTTACTCTCCCTACCTGACTCAGCTACTTACTCTATTCTTCAACATTTCTCTGTTTTCTTAACCCATCACTTTCCAATAAGGCCAAATATTCTCGGGCCTAAAAAACCCTATCAATACTCTCATTAACCTCTTACTGCTTCCTGTCACTATAAACATTTCCAAAGACAATGACCGGCTCCATATCCTCTCCTCCAAGTTATCTTTGACCTAAAACAATGTGTTTTTCATTACCATACTTTATTTATAAAGTAATATGCTTTATTTTTCAGAAGTCTTTTTTTCCTGAAAAAAGATTACATAACATTATAAAAGTACATATTAATGTAATGTGAAAGGCCTCTGTAATTCTACTCTCACAGCAAGATGTTTTCAACATTTTGGTGTATAGTTCCACCATATTTTTTTCTGTACATATCATGACATGTATAATACTAATTTCAAAAACTCTGAGGTTATATCTACACAATGTTTTGCAAATCTATTCATGTACTCTATCTGGGCTATCTTTCCTATTAACACATACCATTTGACATCATTCTCAGATAGTTGCAGTCCAGTATACGGATATAATGTGATTTAAGGCTTCCCTTCCTTTTACCAATGAGAATGTGGGTCATTTCTATTGTTTCGTGCCAAAAAGACTTTAATAGATGTGTCCATGCCTCATTTTGTATCATCACAGGATTTCATCTTCTTAAAACACTTTTCTCTTTGCATCAATGATGATTTTTGTTATGGGGTCTCCTACTTGAACTGCTCCTTCCCATTCTCCTCTCCTAGTTTATGATCCTTTGGGCAATCACATCTATTCATATGGCTGAAGAATCTTTCCATTTTTCACCTTGCCTCAGCTCTAGACTAATATTTTTAAGTATTTCTATAAAAGTAGCCCAATGACCCCTTCAAGTTAACAGATGACATGTGAATTCATTACATACCTTTGCAAACATCCTCTGGCTTCTCATGTCTGCTAATATAACAACCCAAATAACTCAATCCAAATATCCTGAACTATTTTCTCTCTCAACCCCTACATCATAAAACCTACAAACTAAATCTCTACTGAGTATACATATGCTTTTTCCTTTGTCTTCTTCCTGCCTTTTTCAGTTAGTTATTCTTGCCTTGGCCATTATAACAGCCTTCCACTTGGTCTCCTACCTCTAATGATTCTACACATCCATCCATGATATAAACTATACCAGATATTTTTCACAGGCCCGATCATATTATGAGCCAGCTCCAAAGTCTCAAGTGTCCACCTACTAAACCAAACTCAATACCTCTCTCCCAGACTCAATCTATTTTACAAGTTGCATTTCCATTTCAACACTTAGTTCCTGCCCCACTTACAACTTTCAATGACTCACAGCTTTATTTAGCGTTCCCTAACTGCAGAAGTCTCATCTCCCCTTGTTTTCTTCTGAAAAAATCCAATTAATCATTGGACTTCCAGCTTAAAGATCACTTCCTTTGTGAATGATTCCCTAGAATTTTAAAGAAATGTATATTCTCCTTTTAACACGTGAAACATCTTACCTTGTAATAGTCATAGAGGTATTTATCAATCTACATAATTTAGAATTTTTTATATTAATTACATATGCAATTAATTTTGCTTTATAGATAATCTACTAATGGAGCAAGATCTGCCAACTGACAAATCAAGTGTAGCCTTTTGGGAAAACTCTTGGAATACAAGCGCTTTTGCTTCTTAAAAACCACAGTTTAACATTATCTCCCATTTTGGAACCAAGATTGGATAAGAGGATATTGTTGACAACTTTAATAGTCAAAAAAGTCATACCTTTATAGCTGCTTTTTCATTAGAGAATGTGGCAAAAGCTGTATGTTTCTGAAATAGAGTTAAGGTACAAATTACTTCCAATATAATTCAGCTTCTCATAAAGAAATTTGACATTTTACCAGTGGAGTGATGTGACATGTCAATAAAATCATGGGAAAGGATGAAAAATCAATACCATTTAACTGATTACTAATTTCAGTCCAGTGGTTTTAAACATTTTTGGGGGTCAGACTTCAAGATAAAAACTATGCAATCTCTATCATATAAAGGTGTGTACACATACCCATTTTACACATGCAAATAGCTGAAAAGACCAAAAGTTTAAAGACCTCTGCTACACAGAGGTTCACTTTTAAACAACTAAAAATTTACTTTCCCCATTTATGACAGACCTAAATCTTTTAAACTTTCCTCTATCCAAAACAATGCAGTTTAAAAACATTCACCAACAGGAGAAATCGTTCTTCAAGGTGCCTATCTCCTTTGTGCTTTAAATTTGTAATACTGTTAGATGGCAGAAGTCTATTTTTAAATATAAATTACAAAGATTTAAAAAAGCATCAGAAAAGAAACACAAGTCAAAAATAAAAGAATCACTATGCTAAGGAAGGGTTCAGGTCAATGCTCATTAAATTGCTTTAATAACTATCTCGCACATTCTAATTTTGTCTGATACACGATGACTTAATTAAATGTACTTAAATTGAGCCATATATAATTTATTTTTGAATTTGCTGGTGTAAATGGCACTTAAATTGATCAAAATTGGCCTTTCTTCTAACTCAGTGACTCTCAATTTGGGGTGCATATTAACATTAAAATCACCTGGGGAAACTTTAAAACCACTGATAGTCTCGCCCCATTGCTATTCCTGTTTAATAAAGAGAAGTCTAAAACAGCTTTGGGTATAAAGCAATACAAAGTAATTGTGTAAATTTCTCCAAAGACACTTTTAACAGTCCTAAAGAATTTTTCCCGTCGGGAAATTTTTGTGAAAAGCTTCTCTGTGTAGCAGAAATCCTGTATTTAACTCACGCATCACCAACGTAATGTCTCTTCTACTTTGACGAACGATTTAACATTGGCTTACAAATGAACCAGGACTTTAAAAAATTCCTTGATGCATTTGTAAGAGTACTCTAGGTCCAGGAGAAATAACCCTAAATTCAAAAAAGCTGTGAGGCTCTCAGTATGGATCCAAAAAGGGAATATAAATAAGCCAATTTCCATTCCTCTGCTTTGTCGTTCTCACTTGCCCTTTTCCGCAGTGCTATGACTAATCTAGACTCCAGCCGATTAAAACTCCACTTTGCAGAGCAGATACTCTGACACAAAAGAGGTCGGACAGGGAAGCTCCCATCACACAAGTACATCTTCCCCGCTAGTTTCCCTCTTTCTCCAGCCAGCGCTCCCCGTCCCAGGTCACTTGCTCCCCTTCCCGGGTCACTTCCCACAGGCCTTCCCGAGAGGCTCGGGGTGGGGCGCGCCCTTACCAGTCGCCCCTTATCCGACAGGACGCGCACCGACTGCGCCCCGAAGTACTTCAGCAAATCCTCTTTCTCCTCAGCGGTCAGCTCAGCCGGCAGGTGCCTCACCAGAAGGGTTCGGTCGCCCCGAGGCGAGGAAACCGAGGCGCTCGTGCATCCCCTTGATATTACGAGCGGCTGCTCGGAAGCTGCCATTTTCCTTCCAGAAGCAAAAACAGAACGCGTGGGACGAAGCCTCAGTCAACACCGCAGCATCAACACAACGTGGGATAAATATTTTTTCCGTCTCGCGCTAAGGATTCTGGAAACCCGGAAATACGAGACAGAAAATCACCTTCTCGCGAGAACGGTGCCTCCTAAACGCCCAAAACCTTCGGACACGTTTCTCGGCGAAGGGCGCGGTGCTGATGACGGGAAAACAGAATGATCTAAATTCCAGGTAGCTTCGAAAGACTTACAAGCAAAAATTGGCCCAGAGACGTGCGAGGGTTAATAGACGTTGTTAATCAAAGAAGGAACCAGGAACCCCAGCCACAAGATGGGAGGAAGCTGGACACCCAAGGACAGCAGAACTCACGACTGCGCATGTGCGGGCTGGGACCGTCGTGGGGCGGAGCGCGGGGCGGGGGCGGGGCGGGGCGCGGGGCGGGGCGGGGCGCCGGGCGGGGCGGGGCGCGGGGCGGGGCGGGGCGCCGGGCGGGGCGGGGCGCCGGGCGGGGCGGGGCGCCGGGCGGGGCGGGGCGCCGGGCGGGGCGGGGCGCTGAGCGCAATCCGGAGCTAACTTAATTAATCCCTGGCCGAGGGAAAGTGAATTGGCCTAGCTAACGGTGAGAACTTGGGTGTGGAAATATCGGGTGTGTTCTTATCGTCTTTGGATGGTAAAACCTAAAGATAGCCAGTTCTTAAGTCAGATCATTAGGGACCATGAGTTTCATTTTTGGGAGAACTTGGTTTAAGGGGCAAAAAGTTGAGACGGTATTTCCTTGAATCAGCAGTGATTTAGCCGACGGAGAGGCCCCTGCCAGGGGGCCTCTATTAAAAGGCGGCCTAATAAATAAATTATAGGGTGCCTGTGTGTGTGTGTGTGTGTGTGTGTGTGTGTGTGTGTAGATGTGTGTAGATGTAGGTGTAGGTACTCTTCTCCCCATTTTACAGCTGAGGACAGGGATGTAAAAAGAGGTTAAGTCACACAGCTAGAAAATAGAAGAACCAGGATTTGACCGCTGATGTTCTGACCTGAAGTCTACATTCTGATCCACTGTTCAGCCCCGATTCTGAATGGAGTGAGGTAGAGATCATCCCCAGAGGGTCAGAAATGTACCCTTCACACCATACAGAGAGGGCCTTGAGGAGTCTAAAGAGAGGTTTTATTCCAGATGCAGCTGCTACAGTCTGGAGAACCAGAATTGCTCCTACAACTCTTTTCGCCTCTTAAATAGATGTTAGAGATACAGCAGGAAGCAGTACACCAAAGATCTGCTGTCATCCAGCATTGGTTGGGGAAAAGGAGTGGGACAGATATTAATGAAAACTAGATGACAAACACAAGAAGAACCTTCCCGCCCCCCCACCCACCACACACACACACACATACCAAAATATCAGATAGGCAGAGCCAGACCATGTAGACCCTATAGGTTTGTTAGGAGCCCTATTTATTTGAAGAACAATTATAAATTGACAGATTCTTTAAATAGGTGTGTGTTGAGGGGAGGGAATCAAATTTTAGGTATGAACATTTCTCTGGTTACAATGTGAAAAATAGAAGCAGAAAGACCAGTTGGACTACTATAGAAGTCTGGGGAAAAACACTGCCAAAAATAGTTTGGTGAAAGTAGACATGTAGAGAAGGAACTGAGATGTTTTAGAAGTAGAATTGATAGAAACTTACAGATGAAGAACAGTAATCAAGGATGAATTCTTGATTTTTGGCTTAAGCTCCATATTATCCATCTGTAGATGATCATGCCATTTACTGAGTGTGAGAAGACTGACCAAAGTGTAGCTAGGTTAGAAACTGTAATGGGACATTGGGAATAGAAAAATGTTTATTAAATTTAAGGTGCCTATTCAGTATACCTGTTTCAAGTAGGAAGTTGAATGTGTATGGCTGGCATTCTTGGGAAAGGTCACCACTAGGTATGGCATCAACCTGTATGGTATTTCCATTGGAAGAATGAGAAAGGTATAGATAAAATGGTGCCCAGAACAGAGCCATGGGACATGCAGATGTTGAGAAGTTGAGGAGAGGGAGAAGAACAAGACAATCAATTCCTGCCCTCTCAATGCTTACTTTCTAAAATTAAGGCAGATTAAACATGTAAATAAAGTTATTTTCAGAGAATCATTAAGTGCTTTGGAAAAAATAGGTAGTGGTATAAACCAGTTGGAGTGGCCATGCTATTTTAAACACTATCTTTCGCAGGCTTTTTCTTGGGTTCTTTGAGGACTTGTTTGGAGCATCTAGCAAGGGAGTGCTGCTGCATGTATACCCTTATGGAAGGATCATTCTCCTGTATTGGGGAAACTCATCCTCCTCAACAGAATGTGCAGCTTTGGCAGAGACATATATGGGGCAGTTAGTAAGGAAGGGGAACCCACCTAGTTAGCCAGATCAGCAAATCAACCTATTGTGATCAACTGGTGACAGGTATCCCAGCAAAAGCACCCTCATATCCTCCCTGTGACTCTTACATTTAGTAAAATGCTGCACACATAGTGCACATTCTGTAAATATCTATTCAATGAATGAATCCATGAAGGAATTCATTTTTATATTTATCACTGACTCCTACGGTTAGGAATTCCTACAGGGGCTATTAAGTAGAGTTTAATGGTCCTTATCTGTAATTCAGATATCATGACTGAATGGAATAGTTACATGACAGAATTTTATTTTCTCTCCACTTAATTGCTTTTAGTTGTACTCAGTGAAATCTACCTTATTCTTTCCTGGACAGAAGGTCATCATTTCCTCAGTCAGAGGTCATGATTTTCGAGTCACTTTCAGTTGCTATCAGTATAGTTGGTTTGAGATGTCAAGTTCTAACTCCATTAAGGTGTCTCCTCTTATACTCCCCTCATGTCAGGCTTGACCTAAAGGATTGCAGGAATATGTAATACACTTTCATGTTTACTGTGTCTGAGTGTAGGTGTGTGTGGTCGAATCTGAGAAGCACCTTTCTCATTCCCTTCTCTTTGTCTAGCTCAGAAGTTCCCAAGCTTTCTCAGTTCATGGTGACTTTATTGTCTCAGCAGCTTTTCCCAGCACCCCTTGATGCCACCTTATTTCCTATTTCACTCTAGTTTTTCGAGAAGCACTTGTTTTAAATGAGAGCAACTTTGCAAAGATTTGGCGTTCTTAGAAGGAATTAAACAGGATCTAATGTTCAAATTGAGAAGCATCTCAAGCTGGTAGTTCAAGTAGTGTCTTGTGTATATTGAGTATTGCTACGTTCTTCTCAAATATTTAAAATGTCCTATAGTACCCCTATGAGGTGGCAAGGGTGCCTGGGACACCTCAGCACAATTTGGGAATTGTGAATTTAGCTCATTTTTGGTCTTGATTTTCTATGTTGGGGAATGGGAGGAGGAAAAAGTAGTGGAGCTTGGGAGTGTCTTACTTCACTGACCGATTGTTGGTTCTCTATCTCCTTCTTATTCCCAGTGTTGATGGAGGTCCCCACGAACGTGGTGATTTTCTCGGGTTCATGTTCAACTTCATCAGTTCCCCGTATCACTGAGTACCTTTTCAAACAGAAGTACCTTTTTTATTTTGGCGTTTCCTTTGGTTTGTGTCCCTAGTTTTCCTCACTTGGCCATGTGGCTATTTGTACTTCCCTATTACCCCCCCAAACTCCCTATTTTTCCACATGAATACTGGAAAACTGCTGGATCCTATCTCTGGCATGCTTTGAACAACTGTAATAGAGAGAGGGGTTGATCCCAATATTTGTCCTGGCTTCGTGCCAAGAGCATTGCTCTCTCCCTTCACAGCCAAACATCTAAAGAGAGAGACCTAATTGTTCTTATTTCTTCACCTCCCATTCACTCCAAAGTGTGCTTCTACCTGGCTTCTGATCCCATCAGTCCACAGGATAGTTCTTGTTAGGGTCAGTAGTTACCTCCAAGTTACTACATCCAGTAGGCCTTTTCTGTTCTCATTTTCGCTTCTCAGCCATGTTTGGCACACTTGACCACTTTCTCTTTGAGACACTATCTTCCTTTGGTTTCACACCACTTCTAGTGTTCGAGCTCACTTTCTCTTCTATCTTTCTCCAGCAAAACTTTGACTCCATGTTTTCTCCTCTCTCCTGTCACCTTGAATCCTTCTCACTTTTATTTTAGATGGTAACCTTGCTTCTTGATCTCATTGGGGAAAAAAATGAACCAAGTGATAGAGAGTTCCCATAACCATTAATCCTACCTGTATCTGTGAGTATTGGTTAAGCTAACCTCTCCCTTGGGAAGTAAATCTCCTGCCTTCTCATGTACTCCACTGAGTCTTTTTCAACAATATATACAAATGCTACTACTTACCCTTTTTGTTTAAAAAAACCAAAAACAAATAAAATAATTTTCAAAAACTCTATTGTTTCCACTTTCTTCTTTGGCTACCATTCCATTTATTTTTGTTAATAGCAAAACTCTTGGACATGGTGATTTATATTTGCTGTCTCCAATTTTCTTCTCCCATACTCTGTTTAGAATGTTCCAATCAGATTTGTATCCCAGTCGTTTTCAGAAATTGCTCTTCTTGAGGTCATCAGTGACCTTTACACATTGCTAAATCCCGTGGTCATTTCTTAGATCTTACCCTGCTTGATCTATAAGCATTGCTTACTAAACACAATTGTTTACTCTGCTCTAAAAACAAACAAAAAGCATCCTACAAACAACCAATAAACCAAACTTCCTTCACTTGGCTTGTTGGGTACCACACTTACCATGTTTTTTCTCCTATCATTCTGATCACTCTCTTCGTTTCTTTTGCTGATTGCTCTTCATCTCCGTGACCACCAAAGTTTGGAATTTCCCTTGCTCAATCTTTTCTCTTTTTTGCCCTACAGGTACCAGAGAGGTCATCTCATTCAGTTTTATGGCTTTAAGAACCATACATTGATGACTATCAAATTATATCTTCAGCCTGAACCGCTTCCCTAAACTCCCAATCCTTATATTGAACTCCTTCCTGGACATTTTCTCAATGTTGTGTAACAAGCATCTCAAAACCAACAGGTCTAAAACTGAGGTCTTGATAGTATTCAAAACTTCTCTTTCAGTTTTTCCCATCTCAGTTACCTGTGCTCCACTCTATCGTTTATATCTCATGCCTTGACATTCAGCAAATTCCCTTTATCTTACCTTCAAATTACATTCAAAATTTGACCATTTTTCACTGTCCCCACCATTTCTACTACCCTTGTCCAAGCAGCCACGATCTATCTGGAATATTGCAATAGCCTCATGGCTAGTTTCCTACCTTTGCCCTTGCTGTCTGGACAAAACAGTAAGACTCAGCAATTATTTGGTATATTCCTTTGCATTTCCCAGCTCCCTGTTGTTAGTTGGGACTGGGTGATTCATTTTGG